ACCTTGAGGCTGATTCGAATAGATGTTTAGCATGTCGGGAAGGCTACCGAGACTGTCTATAAAGTCGCTAAATGGGTCTACAAGTCCATTCACCGGAATTTCGGATATCTCATCTGAGATGCTTGCAACCCTGCCCAGAGGAGGTGAGATAGAGGCGAGGTCCGATATCTCAAGTCCATGGCCGATACCAGGCGGAGTATCTGGTAGCCTAAGGTAGAACCTTTCCGCACCTCTGTGTACCTGTTCTGGCGCATTATCGTATGGATGCTCTAAAAAGCTCGGAGTTGGGTATCTGTTTTCGCTATGCCCATTCCCATCTATTGCTGAGTACTCTATGCCTTTATTCCACTGCGCATGCCTTGCCATGTCTCTTAATCGGTATTTTTGCGGTTGGTTATCTGAATTTACATATATCGCTTCGTTAGGTTCAAATGGGACTGGGGTTTCGTCCCATTCGAAGAATTTCAGATCTGACTCTCTATGTTTCCAACCCGAACGAGAAATGTCTTTTACTATGAACTCTCCCGGCTTTGGGCGAAAATTCGAAAGTAAAGCAGACGCATAATTCCGGTACGGATAGAAGGTATTGTAATCTATATCCTTCCAATATCTGACATTCTTGACTAGAATTTTCTGCATCTGTTGTCTATCGAATACGGCAGGGTCGAAGGCTAGGATAGCCAATAAACTATGGTTGTTGCATTTCCCAAGCTGTGGGGAATTATTGCTATACAAAGCAATGAACGTCGGGACGGGCGTGTTTCCGCTCTGCGCCCGGACAAGAATCTCGCGGGGCCCTGTATCGGGATTAAGATCTGCGGGTAGGGGATTGCAGGTTTCACTCCCTGCGACACGGGAAGGTATGGCGAAATTATACTCGTATCCAATTTCTCCGGCCTCGTCATCGCTGAAAGCGATATCGTAGGCAGAGGATATAGATAGGAAGCAGGAGAGTGCAGCTAGGAGGACTGTGGTGACTGGGATAGCACGCCTCATGCTGCTAAGCCCTTGGTCAATATCCAAGGCCATCGACTTTTGAATCCATAGAGAACATCTTCTGTTGTATACTAGTCTTTTCACATAATCTATTTCAAACCCACGGGCGCAAATATTGCTAAGCTAAGTTTAATTAAATACTCTCTAAATAGCTCGTGGTTAACCAGATACGTGGAATATTAATACTGCACTCATGTGACGTTTGCGTAAAACCTAATCCTTATACAGGCTGTAAGGGCTATAGTCCTACTCCGGCGCATACTACGAGACTACTCCGGCCCCTACTACTCGATCTCAGGATATAAAAACTCTCGGCTAGCTAATGTGGTCTTTTATTTCCCTAATCGCTGTGGGATAATTTATCAGGGGTTTCAGCTAGATTAACTTTTAGAAGTCTTAATTAATGCTATAAAATGAAATGCTATAAAATGAAATGCTATAAAATGAAATGCTATAAAATGAAATACTATAAAATGAAATTCTATAAAATGAAATTCTATAAAATGAAACGATTAGTAACGTACGACTTGAATTCAGACAGCCACCACTGGTTACATACCTTCATCTTGTAAATGCATCACAGTGAAACGGAAAATGGCGGGGGGTCTATAGTTGTATTGTGATTACGCATGTGCGCTATATGCTATATCTCTCCATATGTCCTATGTATCTTGGAAAATTTTTCGTCCTAGGACCAGGCGGATTAAAGAACCTGCGCAAGCTTCACCGAGAACTTGGATGTTTTGTTCAATCCAGGAGGGTCCGAGGTGTGAAAGCGTTCGGCTTTGCCAGGAAGCTAGATACGTAGTTGGCGATGCCTTCTCCGCGGGAAGTATCCTGTTTTCAATAGCTATGTCGTTGTAACGTTCATTAGTATTACGATTATGTACTAAGATAGATAATAAAAAATAAAAAAAATACCTAGGCAGGCAGAAATTAAACCAGCTACTGGATGGTTATCTTTCTGCTCAAGAAAGGTCCTTTATGACTTTTCCGTCTGGCTTCGTAGAGCTCGAACCGTCGCAATTCCCCAACTGGTTTGCAACCTCTCCTCCTATGAAAATAGTAGTAGGTTAGCATCAGCAGGGAAAATTGTTGAAGGCGTCCAAGCCACTGACCTGTGGATCAAAAACTTCATGACTCCAATGATCTCGACTCTAAGAAACCATTTTGCATGGATTCCGAACGTGACACATAGCGATCACATTCTGGTGTAGGGTCCATGTTACTGGTACCCTAACACGCAAGCGGTTTCGGAAACCAGGTAACAGGAGCCATGATTTGCCAAAGGACACAACAAAGAATATCGTTTCGTAAATAGAGCAGCAGGGCTAAAGTGTGATGGTCTGTAAATTCTGACACCTATAAGGGATCTACCGTAGGGGAAATGGGTGGGTCTTTTCGGTCGTCTTTATCAAAAAAAGCGGACATAAATCAGGCTTAAGATGATAAAGCCGTTTTAAAGAAGTCTTTAAGACCCCAAAGTGTCCTGGAAACCCCGTCGAACTCCCTACGGTAGGTATGTGGCATAAGAATCTAGGACCAGTAAACACAGTGCTCCTGGCTTGAATGCAATGGATTTTACAATAAACACACTGCTCCTGGCTTGAATATACTCCTAGCTTGGATCAGTACCAGACCAAGACTACTACCGAAGCGTCTTATACTACGAGACTATTCGGTTATAAATAAATGTCTCCATGTACATTGGATCTCATGGCTCGGAAGCAGCCAGAAGGCTCTACATTTAAACATCTTGATTGAGAGGCCGAAAGAAAGAGCCGCCACAACCCTGTATGGGTCGCCATTTTGTTTCCTCCCACCTCATCATCATTTCTTTCTCTTCACCTGTGCAAATGCACCTTTCGACTACCTCCCAATTCATCCTCAAACCCGGGCCCTCCCAAACTAGAAAAAAATGGGGGGCCTGCGACAAAGACCACACAAGTAAGCATTCTCCCTGATCTTCTTCAATCCAAAATCCAGTCCATCATCGTACCCTTCATCAATCCGTCACATTATCGGGTAGTATCCTTGTGCATGTAATTGTTGCTTCCCTGTGTCCAACATGAATTTAACGCAGCCGGTTATATATATAGGAAGCATTGATCACATCTGCTCTGTTTGAGATTATATTACTACCGACGAAGATGGGGTTGAGGATCAAAAGGGTGATCTTGGGTCACGTTGCTACCAAAGTGTCGTCCACTACGAGACTAATCTTGGGTCTGATAGACACAATGCTGTGAGTGCATCTTTCGTACACCTACAGATCGTTGACTGTAGTCAGCTTGTATTTTCTTTTACTATAAAATCAATGCTGACTATCATAATAGGAGAGCATCCAAGACGAGTTGGACTCCATTGTTGCCAACCAAGTTGATACGGATGGAAACCAGACAGGTCAAGTTGAGGTTATGTTCAATAACGTTGACGAGGAAACTCTCTGTCTTAATTCGGCTACAAAAACTTCATATCTCGTTGCGAGGTCGGTGATTCTTGATTTTTGGAGCAAAATGGAGGATCCATAAGATAAGGGCCTCGAGTGCCCTTCACCTTGCTACTGAAGCGTCAAAGACTACGAGACTACATCAAAGGCAGACCGGAAGAAGAAATGGACGAAAAACAAACCGGATGTCCAACTCAGTAAGGCCACTTTCCGGTATTTGACAATACTACCATGGGAATCTATGCTTACGTATCGGTGATAAATTGGTGCTGTAGCAAGAGCCACCCTATCTCTATAGGCGCTCCATAATAGCCCACCAAACCACTCTTAGATAACTACAGGAAGCTCCCTAAGAGCTCCCCATCACAATTCAATCTATTACATTCACACCCCTGCTAGCTAAGCATATTCCTATATGGTGCGGTTTGTGTGGTTCCTATAGGTGCTCGACAGCAAATTCCTTCCATAAAGCTAAAGATAAGACTTTTAGGATGATGAAAATGCCTGCTGGAAATGTCTGTGGCCTCCGTAATACTACCTATGCGAAAACGAACGTGCCGAAGCATATGCAAAAGCATTCGAGCCACTATAAAATGATGGACTTTTGAGGAGTCTAGGTTGGTATCTCCTTTCTCGTAAGCTGTTCTAAGGTTGCTTCGCAGATTTTCTACGGTTGATCGCTGTCTTTTCCTTAAATTCCTTATCGTTACTTATAATTCGCTCCGGTTGCTGCTAACATAAAATAAATTAGGGAGATTATGCTGTTACCTCACCTATAGATAGCTAGACATTCTGCAAAGTGAAGGTCGGGTTTATGAGACAACCCTAACCCTTAACAAGCAACCATTATAATTGTATACTATACGAAATACTTTATCATTCCAACACATATATATTAAAGCAATGAGGTTAGGTAGACCATGGTGACCGGGACGGTACTAATACGCAAGGTCCAAGATACAGCCGTTTCGTGATCGTTATATTGATACTTTCATCTTTAGAACTTTTGATAGAAAATATAAATAACTACATACCCAGGTAGGTGGTTGGCAACTAAGTAACTATATTGCTGCACGCTTTGTGCTTAAGTATGTGTACCACTTTGGGGGCGGCGCGTAGGCCAAATGTGTACCACAGAATTAGTGTTCCTGCACGCTTTATATGTAGCTAGGAAATATTAATATTAATATTCATTCTTGAAGTCATTGGACAAGGCATAGAGGCTCTTGGTAGATACTAGATACCTAGGTACTTATCAATCCAAAAATTTAATGCAGAGTAATAAAACGCCATCATCACGAATATGACATGACCCCCCCCCCCCCCCCCCCAAGGATTTGCCTGTCCTCCATGGCCATCCCATTGCATCAAGGTCCCTCAATAACGACGGAATTGAAGTGGGACGCAACACATCCTCTAAAATCTTTGTTTGGCGAGCTCCTGCGGCCAAAACCGGACGAAAACCTTCGCAATCGAGTCGAGAATCCAAAAATGTCAAAACTTTCTCAATCCCAACCATTCCAAAAGGTCAAAAATGCAAAAAAGAATATCAAATCGCCCTCCGGGAGGCTCGAACTCCCGACCTTGGGATGTATTTTTCAGAGGAGTTTAAGCCTCGTAAAAGTCCCACGCTCTTCCGATTGAGCTAGGAGGGCTGTTTGATGACTGTTCATCTTTGGATGAGTATATAAACCCTATTGCCAATAGTTTAGCAGACAACCCATATCTAAGAGGGCTTATATCAGAGGGCTTATGTCCAGAGAAGCCAGGCAAGCCGCTGGGGGTACTGGTCGTTGATGGTCGGGTGATGGAAGAGGGAATTTTGGGACTATGAAATTTGATCGACGCCAGATACAACATCCGATTCTTTTTCTTACCAAGCTTACATAATCAACTAGATCATGTCAGCGATGTATGTACAGAGCACTCTCACCAGATCTTCCAGTGGTTCTTCTCTACAAGTGCATATAGTTTACAAACTTTAGCGGTCGAACTTTCTAGTACCTGGAATTAATTAGATACACTCGTAAAATATTATATTTGTAGTACATGAGCCTACACGTCAAACCTCGGCCTTATGTTCAAAATAAATAATAAGGTAGCCTCGTAGCCAGAGTCCCCGACGGGCCACAGGTTCTGGCCTTCAATTTACACAAATGTAAAGACTAGCTACGAGGCGAGTATATCCAGTGATGTTCGAATTCTCAGTCCCGTGTTGTAGCTGTTGCAGAGGTCGTGGTCGCCTGGTCGCCAGAGCACTGACCCGACCTGACACTGCCAGTTTGGGCCTGATACCAACCCAATTGTCCAGCCTACAAGTCTGTACGACCATAAAACTGCTCGAAGCAACGAATAATATAAAGGACCCAGCAAGGGGTTGCGACGATTATAGATTTCAAAAGCCGTTTTTACCGACTGCCAGACCATGCCATGCAAACACCGCTGTCTAACTAACACATGCATACAAGTAACCACTATCGCTGACTCGAGCAAGTCGAGGCCCTAGCCCCCCAGCGAACACGCTAATATCGACGAATCCAGTTGCGACACCGACACTCAAAATGTTGCAAGGAAATTAACCCGGTTCAGCGTGTGTGCAATCTATAATGCAGGGCGTATAATCGCAATATCGATCAGGAGCGTAAACGTGCATAGACGGTTGTTCTAACGTTGGGACATTTGGTGGCTGGTTTGTTTTTGGGAACACATGCAACTTGCGGCTGTTCGCTAGTGTTTCATGATTGGCGTCTCAGTCTGAGGGTTAAACTCTGAGGCATCGCCATCAGGAATTCTCCAGATTACTTTGGGGAGATTGCATATTTTTTCTTCTCCCTCTGGCACTTTTGGGGAGAGCAAACAGGCCGAGTTTTCCGCAGAGGAATTCACGAGTTTTTTTTTTTTTTTTTCTATGAGGGAAAAAGTTTTCCTAGAATTTACAAAGTTTTCCGGGTGATGGGAATCCGCGATAGATTGATAGTATAACCGGATAACGGGTATCTCTGGAGTAACGTATATGAGAAGGTGTCTGGACCCGCCCAGGTCTGAATATAGAAGTTAGTACGGATAACTGATATGATTTGCATGGGGGCACATGTATGTATGTAAGCAAGCGCAGCGCACAAGTCCCCGCTACAGCCCCTCAGAAATGTCCTTTGCCGTTGGTGACAAAATTAGAAGCAGCATCTGTAAACTATCTTCTTGGCTTTTTTTCTCTCCCTCCATTGAACGTCCCGTTGAAAACATGAAAGACCGAAGGCTAATACTCTGGACATGTACTGCACTATGTGAAACGAAACGTATCCGCACACACACACACACACATGATAATTAATGTTGGACGACGGAAGACGTCGCACCGTAACGGCTTGTATTGTGTCCACCCCTACGTTTGTTTGTTAGTTGGTAGCAAGTAGCACGAACCGGCCACGACTCGATTCAATCGGACGGATTGTAGCCGCAATATTTTCCTGAAAATATTCAACTCTGTCGCATTCTTGGAGACCGGTATTGGGGGGGGCTTCAGGTCTGAGAGAGAGGCGCCTACCCGTCAGAAAGTCTCATTAAAGTAGGCAGGTGGCAGGCAAGCCGGGTTCGGTTCGTGCGGAGGAGCTAACGAAGCAAGACCCTGTTTGGACACCGAATCCTGTTCCCCTTCTTTACAAACAATCGTCATAAGACACAATCCGCCGTGTACCTTCGACACCTTTTCTTCCAGAAACGTTCATGCTCAGGACAGGCTCCTTGCTGGTTTTGGTGGGCAGGTATTTGAATTTTTCTTTACTTCTTCGACGCCTCCGCCACCCTTAGCCGTACACATACATCCATACTCACTACATACCGACGGACTAAAAAAAAAAAAAAAAAAGAGAGGGAGAGAGAAAAGCGGCCCTGGCTGGCTCCGGCAGAAAAAAAGAATAAGAACATAAGAACATTCTGTTCCTGTCGCCTGGCGTGCCTCAACATCGGAACCGTCTACCAGTTTTGCTCTGAAGAGGTCGTTTATCCGAGTTCCCCGACCTGGTCTTTTGCTGTCGTTGGGCGGAATTCTTCGTCGCCTGCCAACACACACCTGATCCATCTCCAAATTTCTCCCGCCTTCGTTTCGTTTGCCTCCTCGTCCTCTCATCGTCCATCTTCCTCCTCCCATTTCAACTGTATCGCCCTCCATCGCCGGCCTCATCCCCGCCGTCTTCTCATTACCACCAATCCAACGGCCCTGATAGTTTTCCCACTGCAATCTTGACACTTTTCTACCCCTTTTGTGACGTTCTGAGTACATGGTAGAGGCCACCGACTGCACTCGCGTCCCCGCATCGCTTGCCGACCAACAATCTCTGAGACCGTTTCCAACGTTTTCCTCACCCGATCTTTTCCGACTGTCAACGTATCCTCCTCAGGCATCTCGCTTCGGACCATCGTCGTAGTGATAATATTAATAGCAGTCTCCAACTTCTACGGCCGTCGCGTCGGCGTAGTCTTCCGTTATAATGGCCGTTATGGCTTACCCTGCCGATAACTCCCCCGGTCGGGGCATCCTGATCGCACTGCTTTCAGCCTTCGGATCAGCCGCTATTTTCCTATCGGCCGTCGCCTTAGTATACTTCCTGAGATATACCAACCGAGGAAGGATATTATTGGACAGACTGGGTAGACCGGGTGAGTTCGATGATGAACAGGCCTTTCTCAGGGACGAAGCCGAAGCGTTAGAGACCATGGATGAAATGGACCGACAGGAGTACTGGAGAGCCAGAGGTAAGAAATGCGATCCATTTTCTCAAATTATCTTTTTTTTGTGTATCTTTTCTAATTTTTTATCTGGAATATAGCCTTTATCGAAGCCAATCCGCCTGATTCTATACCTACCGACATCTCGCTTTCTCAATTCCTCGCAATCCAAGAAAAGGGTGTGTCTGCCTGGGAGTTTGAGGCTGAACTGGAAATTGCCAACTGTTTCGTCGAGGCCCGCACTGAAGTCGAGTTCTATGACACCGAGTGTTCTGTTCAAAGTAACCTGCCCGTTCCTAAACAGAACGACGTCTACTACTGGGAATGCAAGATCTTTGAGAAGCCAGAGACGACGCTTGTCTCCATCGGAATGACTACCAAGCCGTATCCTATGTTTAGACTCCCCGGTTACCACAAACACTCTGTAGCTTATCTCTCCGACGGCTCTCGACGATATAATCAGCCTTTCAACCCAACCCCTTATGCCAACCTTTTCCGACAGGGCGACGTTATTGGCGTCGGTTACCGACCAAGGACCGGCACGATTTTCTTCACACGCAATGGTAAGAAATTGGATGACGTGTGTCACGGATTAAAATCGCACAACTTTTTCCCGACAGTTGGCGCGAAAGGCCCTGCAAAATTGCACATCAACTTTGGGCAACTTGGTTTCGTTTTCATTGAAGCAAATGTGAAGAAGTGGGGTTTGGCTCCGATGACCGGAAGCCTCGCACCACCACCACCCTACGGGAATGAAGCTGGAAGCATCCTCTTGGAGAGCGGTAGAGCCGGTGTCCGTGAAGGTGAAAGCTTGATGGACGCCCGAACATTTGCACAACACCACCAAGCAATTGCCACCCAGAACCTCCCACAGCTAACCACAAGCGTTCACCCGCCGTCGCCGGGATCTGCGTCTGGTAAGCGGAAGAGCAAAAAATCGCACAAGCACACCCAGTCACAGCCACGAAACCTGCCGCCTACTAGTCCCGGTCCGATTCGAAGCCCAACGGAGATTAGCCTGGCCCCAATCAATCCCTTGCAACCCCCTCCTGAATACACTAGCGGCGGCGAGGAGGAGGACAGCAGTGATGATACAGATGGCGGATACGGCGACGAACGAAGGAGATTGCTCGGACCATCTACTAGCAGCAATCGAGTTCAAACCCGAACGCGAAGCCAGAGCGAAGCAGTAATCCGACGAGTCTCACCACCAATTCCGAGTTATGGCGAGGTCATGTCTTCAAGGAACAATGGAGGGGAGGGTCCAAGTGTGCCTCATTGAAAAAATCAAAAAACCATTTTTTGGAGCGCTTTTGATTCTTCACAGCAATCAAGGATTTGGGATTGTTTCATATACTCTAAGATTCACAGACCGCTTCTTGGATTCAACTGTCGAAAAACCAGCTCCTGAATACCGACCCATCATTTTGTATAGACCTATTCCCCACTCCTAGAACACCGGGTTTTTTTGCACCCCTCCACGAACCAAAGTTATGGCCGTTTGGTTCGCCCCCACTGGTTCATCATTTCTGGCGTTTCTCCTTCTGTTTGTTCTTTGTGTCGAAACTATTACACTCTCCGTTCTTTTGTTATGCTTTTAGCACAGGTCACTCGCTATCTATCTATCTTGGGGTTTCTTGGTGGGATTGGGTTATTTATCAGTTTCTCCTCATTTCTTCTCCTCTTTCTTCTTCTTTCTCTGTTTCTTTTGTTCATTATTGCACGGGAGGTAGCGGGTGTCAAGTCTGTTTCTTTTTTTCCCATAGTCTTTTGGATTCCCTTATAAGCCTGAGAACCGGATTTTGAAATCTTCTTTTTTTTGTAGTTATTACACTGGCTCGTTGTGGATGATTGAAGCCAAATATACACAAGCACTTTTTTTTTTTATTTCTCAATTTTGATCTCGAGACTATTTCATTTGCATTTCTGA